AAGTTGCTAAATTTAAGCATTTTTTAAGCCATTTTGTAGAGAGCAACGACACGCAAACGAGTTCAACAAGAGGAAACAACAACTATTAATTACTGTTCGCTGATTCAACTGAGATCTTCTCTAAAGCACACGACCGCTTCATCAAACAACAGGACTGATCGGTTAGGAAGCGTGAAATCTAATGGCGTCCTATAGCATTACAGGCCAAAAATTCGCCAACATCATAACAAGCGAGTACCAGGCGGTCATAAAAACGCTGACTGTGTCACTTCGTAAAAACGTCTATTACGTCTATAGGGCTGCTATAGTCACTAGACAGCTGGTGTCGGTCGATAGGGGCAGTGTTTTTCTATTTTATTGTTTCTCCTCTCATAGACAAAAGCTATTCAATGAGTTCATTGTTCGTGATTCTCGATATTTAGAGCTCTTTCTAGTTGACGGCAGCATAATTCGATAGCCAGTTAATGCCCCGTGTCTCCTGCCATTCATTTGTCTGAGGTGTACGGGCTTAAACTCGAACTATTTGTTCTAGACGCGTCTATAAAGGACTGAACATAGCTGCAAAGTGTTGATGGTGAAGAATAGATCAATGTTTAAAACGTATGTAACGAATGATGAAAATAACGGATAGCAAATGTAACACTTAAATAGTGGATAAAGGAAACTAGTCAAGGAAAACTAGAAAAAAGCTGGGACAAGTGGAGCTAAAACAGGTAACGCGTATAATTGGAAAATTGTCCTAGAATAATCTGACAAAATGGATGAGCGGTTTGTATCGTGATAAGGATCTGAATTTGTGAAGTGCCAGAACTGAGTATGGGCGGCTCCCGCATTGACTGGTCAATATACACCGTGTCCCGTGATGGGTGAACCATAGTGAAACGAATCCCACGAAAAGTGCGGACTCTTCTGTTTCGGATTATATACGAATGATGGATAATTTTGTAGTTGCAGATTACTTGGAAAACAAGCTGCTCAAAAAATTTCCAATCTATGCTAGTATTTTTATTTACCAACATAAATACACCTATATACGTTTACATATATATATATATATATATATTGTGACTGTTGCAAAAAATCTCGTTCTCAACTCCTATTTTCTATCCTGTTACTTTTTTTAGTTCATCATTATACATTCTGTCGCATAAAGTATGTCGAGTGTGATGAAGTACATAATATATCTGCTAATAGTTTACTTTCTTCATAGCTTCATGAAGCGGTCCTTCATTGCTCTACTGAACCATTAGGTTTTTTTTGGGTAGCTTTTTTTTGTTTTGATGAAATCTCAAGAATTATGTCCAATGATGCACTAGGCATAGCTGAGGAGCGATGCATTCTATAATTCGTTACCAACTCTGGTTATCGCGCAATAACTATTTTAGATTAGGGTAGATCATCTTATTTCTATTCTGAATGAACGTATACGGTACAATCATTGAAAGTTCCCTGATAAGCTCAGACGATACGCTCGTTGGCTGAGATTGTAGAGAACTTTGTGCCCGGTTTGTCTGCCGGGCGCAAAATTCTCTACAGTTCCCAAAGATTTCTAAAAAAGTATGACGTTTTATAAACTCTGATTTGTACGATACTAATACCTAACCGACAAGATTACCTACAGTCAGGTTGAACAATTTCATACGATATTGGTTTCTCCTCTAAAAAAATGAAAAAGATTATCGTTATACAATGTATGCAACAATACAACGTATGACAATTAAAGCCATGGGGCTACATAAAATTTCAACACAAAAACAATGTTTTCGGTTTTTCTTTTTTAATTGAACGTCTCGTGATTTTTATTAGATTCACTTACACACCACACACACACACATATATCTATATCTATATATATATATATATATATTGGGTTGTCGAGAAAGCGGTGACCGTTTTTATCGCTAGATGGCTTTATATTCACATATTTTATGTGATATGAGGGATGAGTCTGTCGTTTTCGTTTTCCAAATGAAAGATGCTTCTACTAGTAATCGACAAATTACGGAAAAAAATCATGGGATTAATAAAAAAAAAAATTAAGCACGTGAGTTACGGTGATATCACTAAGGGATACACTGTTCCCCATAGAAAGGTGGCTATAAAAAAGTATGATATCTAGGGGCCATACAAATTGACTTAAGAACTAACTCGATCGTATGTACATCTGGGAAATTTTATAGGAACACACTGAACTCGAGCTATTTCTGAAGTGGTTGATCAAAGGTGGATCGCATACGACGATACTATGAAAATAAAACAATACAAAAAGGCAAAATCCAGGCAGTCGCCGAAAATGCTATGCATTCAGTGGGAATCGTGCAACCGATTGATTCAAATGAGATAATTGCTGCAACATGATTGAGTTGGGCCTCTACTGCCTACAAATAATAACACTAACAAATCATTAAAAAAATTGGAACTACCGAACGGAAGTCTTCCTCTATCATGACAATGCCAGACCACACATGTTTTAGTTGTTTGGCAAAAATTCTATGAATTTTTGTGGGAATTTTAAACGTATTCGCTATGTAGCGCGGACCATACGCGGATTATACATACATATATATATATGTATAGCGAGAGAGAACGTAAGGCTATTTGAAACACAAGTACGTTGTTTTACTTGTTATATTCGTCTTCTTGCTTGCATGACAGCTTATGGTTAGCTAAGTTAGTTGACTTCATTAATTTTAGGGAGATGTTATGGTGTAGGCTTGGACCCGGCATAAATAGAATGCTGTTTCGTTCTGGGAGCCGGTCGTCTGATCGAGTGGCTAACGGCGACACCAGACGTAAAGCTCGCAACACTGTTCATTCAGTTACGAGCAGTCTTTATAATCGTCCGCTCTCAAAGCTGACTCAGATAAAATGTCGTAAAATCACTTATTTAAATTACCCGTATAAGTCAATATATGAAGAGTCGAAAAATCGAACAATGACGCTCACGAAACTTTGCCCAAGAGCCGACTGCGGCCGCCGAAGTACGTATCGAGTCCTTCTCATAACGGTGTGTCGACTCCTTTGATCTGCTATTGTATTGGCAATGCACAAAATAACTAGTAAGCCATTGACTCAATCTGGTTGCCATCTTTGCAAACCAATATGTTAGTAAGAATGGCTCCCTGTCATTCGCACATGTAATGCTAATTGCAAAGTGGGTGGAGACGAACGCCTAGTCAACTATCAGTCTGCCCAGACGCGAGGCTGTCGAATATTAATAGTGGAACGTGACCGAGTGTTCCTTTTTCTTTACTTATCTATAGTATCCCATAGACGATAAGGCTTACATCAAGAGCGTATCAGCAATACATAGCTAGCTGAGAGACACTTACCATCTATGAAGTGAACCATTTTATAACATAAGCCTACGACGAAGAACAGAAACTAGCAGGGAAAGAAAACGTTCAATACGGAATTAAAATAACGCCTAAATGAGTCGCATCAAAACAAAATCTGATAACTACTGTTGCAGAATATAGAACAAATGCCCGTATTGGATGCTGCCCCTGCGACTTTACTGGACGTTTAGCCGACGGTGCAAAAATGGTCCGCTCATGTTGTTAGATCGCGCCGCAATTGCTTGCTTCTCGTCGTCTTTATTTCAACTGTAAGGACTAACTAAAAATTTATATTATTAACCATATCTCTGTCTATCCGTTTAAGAAGAAGTACTTGAATTCATGTGTTTACGCGTGAATGGGCATCTATGATATGAATGACAACTGCCGTAGCCGTCTGGCACCGTTCACCAGCAGGTGATACATTTACACCAAATTCGTTCCTTTATACTCGTGTCTTCATTCTCTTCGTTCAGCCAATGAATTGTGCACACAGAATTCTACCACCCAACAATTTATCGTTGGCTATTCAACATTGCGTGAATTTTGCTATTCTACAAAAGGTACTTTTCCTCTTCTTTATTCAGCTCATTTTTTCTGTTATGCCTCGCCCCCTTGCCATCCTATGCTAGCTCAGCTTTCTTATTGTTCGTCTCGTCCAAGTACTAAAAAAACACGGCTATCTAACAGGGCGCAATAGAAAAAGCACCCAACCGATGATATTTTGAGGTTATTCTTTGCTTTTTTCTCGCCTTCTTTTAGCAAGAAGCTACTATATTGTAGCCATCCTAATGTCCATCGCACCCACTAGAGCCAATTGGCTGACTTTAAATCGAACTTCAGCTTTCTCTGCATATAGCTTTGATCATGACGGAAGTTCTTTTGCGCTTCGCTGGTTTCTTCTCATACATATAT